GACAAATCATCATCCCTACAGATAAAGTATTATCAATCACTTCGTGGATGTCTGCATGATTAGATGCATACATCCGCATCGATTGCAGTCGATTGATTTCTGATATTTCAATCTGTCTAAATTTAGAAAAAAACATAAATTCTAGAACAAGAGTTGTTAAAAATTATTCTGTTGTTTCGAATATAAATCCAACAATGCCTTAATTACTTTACTATAACTGCTGCATATGAGAACGATTATTCAAGGCTGGTCAACGATTAGGCAGAAATAATGTACAAATATGTTAATTTAGAAAAATTATGTCAATTTCATTAATTGCAACCCCTTAACGATGGTAGTTAACGCTAATACACGTCTTCAAAACAACAAAACATAAACATGCTATTTTTTTACCTAATTTTATTGTGATCATGAATCACAATATTGACCACATCAATTATTTAGCTCGATTTGATTATATATAAAAATTAAAAGATGTCACTTAAATTTGAAACAATAAACATAAATTGAATTAAGTCTGATTTTTAATATCAGTGAATATGTGCAAAAATTAATAATGAGTTGCGCAAAACATTCACAATAATTCATTTTGTTGAAACCCATGAAGCGAAATATTATTTTAAAAATTTTCACAAGTAATTTAGTTGAGATATTTTGACGACCAATAACCTACTTGATACGTGGCAATAAAAATTGTTCTTCTACAAGAAACATCATAACCCCGTACTTCATTCAAAGCGACAAACTTAGTTTACAGTTTCATTTTCTTTTCAAATCATAAATCAAAGTCACATTTAGGCTTCATTGTTAAATAATAATGATTAGAAATATATTCTTACCAAACGGTGTGCCGGCGAATGTGCGGACTGTATCACACGCTCAGGCAAAAGAGTGTTGGTTCATAGCCAAGGTCTTCAGAGATACGTTTATCTTATCCCGACACTATCTCTGTTATCAGACACAACGGCAAAAACAAACTAATCTCCTCGACCAGCTTCTGCAAGACTAGGATGTGTGATTATGACTGGCCCTTTTTGGTCTACCTTTTCATGCCACTGAAAGATTTCTGTAAAGTCTGTCGAGGAATGAAATTTAATTGCGCTGCTACTAAACTGTTCTCTGTAATTAAGTTGATATTTGTAATTTAATCTATTTTATAGTAGTACACATTTTGACTTGTGCTTCAAGAATGAAGCTACTTATCCCAGTAAAATAGGTTTAATTACTAATTGCGAATTTAGTATTCAAATTCTTTACTTCAAATGAACTCTTATTTTGTTTGCTCAGTAATTACGAACAGCTTTTGACCGCTTTGTTAGAATAGAATGAAAATTAACAAGACATTATAGGGTTAATTTTCGACAGTCTGTCAGTGAGCAGTGGCTGAGAGGCATCAACGAATACATTAATCCCTTCACTAATAAATTGATGACATTTCTTGAACTCCGACAATTTTTTTTCATGGACTGAGGCTTATTCGCGATAAGTTTAATTAAACTTGGACTCAGATTTGTCCATTCATTTCTCCAGCAGCGGGTGCATTTGATCGTTGATAAACATTCAAGGTCATTGCACAACCATTTGCTACATTATCATTATCACTATTAATTAAATTCTTCACTATGTGCGCACAATCACCACTTAGTTTTGACTTGAAGTTCTAACAAAATGATCCGTATTTAGATCCGATATACGGATCTAAATTTATTTGATCCGTAATAAAATGTCCACACTGATGTAAGTGTGGCTACATCAGTGGCTGGTAAATGTACGGCCGACCTTGATTTGAACCTTTGTGTCAAGATAATCCTTAAGAAACTCAATGTTATTCTTTGAAAAATTCTTTAGTGACAAAGATATGACATTGGGCGATGCATCCAAGAAACAAAGTCAAGAAGGTTCTTAGCGAATTTTTGAGTTTAGTAATAATCAATGTTATATATGCAAACGATGTATATTAGGTAGTGTGATCAAATTTTCCGATTTTATGATTTTTTACATTTTTTTTAATTAGATAAGTTATTGCAAATTGGATTTATTAATACAAAATACGATTCCAGTCACGGTTATGACATGAATCAGCAATTAAAAAGGTTTCATTCAAATATTTAAAAATTTTAAATTTTTACATTTAAACTTTCTATGTACAATACAAAATGCTTCATACACTTACAAAGCGTTTTGCTGAGCATAAATGCTCACGTTGAGGCAAATAAATACAATAAATAAATACATGTACACGTTCTTGGTACTGCAAATGTACATACGAATGACTGCATGTACACGTTCGTAGTACTGCAAATTTACATACGAATGACTGCATGTACACGTTCGTAGTACTGCAAATGTACACACGAATGATCGCATGTACACGTTCGTAGTACTGCAAATGGACACACGAATGACTGCATGTAAACGTTCATAGTACTGCAAATGGACACACGAATGACTGCATGTTCACGTTCGAATTACTGTAAACATAGAAAGAAGAATTTTACCTCCTATACATACACTCAACCAGGGGATAATATCATGCTACAACTCTGAATCAGTATATTATATACAAGGATATAAGCAGGGGAGTATAAAGCTGCAGTTGCGTTGTCACGCGCGCACCTCAACAGCGCGGGATAATGGTCAGTGCTCAGGCATAACTCTGACGCGCTCGCGTGTCAGGACATTCCTAGCATGCTCCTGGTAGCCAGAGTTGGACAATCCTGAGGGGACGAGGGGGCCGTGGGCGTGAGGGGGAATGAATGTGAGGCGCTGTAACGGTGTGAATTGGGACAAAGGAGGGATGAGTGTAGCATGAGGGAGCAAGAGTGTAGCATGAGGGAATAAAGGAGTGATGAGTGTAGTATGAGGGAGTAAAGGAAGGATGAGTGTAGCATGAGAGAGCAAAGGAGGGATGAGTGTAGCATGAGAGAGCAAAGGAGGGATGAGTGTAGCATGAGGAAGCAAAGGAGGGATGAGTGCAGGATGAGGGAGCAAAGGAGGGATGAGTGTAGCATGAGGGACAAAGGAGGGATGAGTGTAGCATGAGGGAGCAAAGGAGGGATGAGTGTAGCATGAGGGAGCAAAGGAGGGATGAGTATAACATGAGGGACCAAAAGAGGGATGAGTGTAGCAAGAGGGAGCAAAGGGGGGATGAGTGTAGCAAGAGGGAGCAAAGCAGGGATGAGTGTAGCATGAGGGAGCAAAGGAGGGATGAGTGCAGCATGAGGGAGCAAAGGAGGGATGAGTGCAGCATGAGGGAGCAAAGGAGGGATGAGTGTAGCAAGAGGGAGCAAAGGAGGGATGAGTGTAGCATGAGGGAGCAAAGCAGGGATGAGTGCAGGATGAGGAAAAGATTGCTGCAATGAAACAGCAGTGAGAGCAATAGATAAATTAATCTATGTATATTTAAATCTCTAAAAAGGAAGATGGAAAAAGAATGTCTGATCTTCATGTCATTCATAGTTCAATGAACTATGGGAATTGAATCNAAGGAGTAATTTGAGGTAGGTTTGATTAAATAATCACATTTCCTTAAATAGCTATTAAATGTGCAATGAATAGCTTAAATTGAATATTCAATGTACTAATTATGACCGAAAATTGCATTCCGGTCGTTCATTAAACGCAAATCAGCATGCTGCATGGATGCCAATGTCGAATGCCGCATGAATGCCAATCGTCAACGCGTCATGAGTCAAATCGCTCAAGAAATCAAGAAATTGCTCGGACTCATCAGTAGTGAACATTTGAATATATCACTCAAAACTTATAATTAACGTGCGAATATTTGAATATATACTGCAAAAGACTTATGATTAACTTGGTAACAGTTAAACATATGACACAAAAGTTAAAATTATTTTGCGAACATTTATACAAATCAAACCAGACGAATAGTGTTGAAAATATTTGGTTGAAAGGAAGGTTTTTAGATCTCCTCTTAACAAGTCAGGAGAGGGAAAAAATCGGCGGTAGACCGTATCAGGCCTATTATTCGGTTCGAATAACGCTATGTTATGTAATGTTATATTTATAATTATAGCTAGTGAACATTTAAACATGTGGAAGAAGGCCAATATTCAACTAGTGAACATTTAAACATGTCGCACAAGAGTAGTGATTTACTAGTGAAGATTCGAAAACATCGCATGAGACAAATGATTTACCAGTAATATTCGAACATATAGCGAAAGACTTAGAATTTACTGGGGAACATTCGAATGTATAGCAAATGACTTATAACTTACCTGTGAACATTTGAGAACATCGCCCGATACTTATGATTTGCTAGCGAAAATTCGAACATGTCGCACATGACCAATGATTTAATGCTGAGCATTTGAAAATTACACAAAAGACCAGTAATTTAATACTGAACGTTTAAAAATGTTGAAGTGCCGAAATCAGTTGATTTAGACAAGCAATATAAGCCTGGCGGTGTAATAAGCATTTGTGTTCACCCAAAATGATACCTCATTTATTATTATTTTATTTAATATTATACCTCGTTTTCTTATAATTTTTAATTCATTTTAGTTTTATTATCTGGTGCAAAAATTATTATGTACTATAATCGTACCAACCACTGGCCTCTCTTACTCATGATCAATCATATCATGTTCTACAAATTGTATCATATATTTATTGCAATTCCCAATAATTTTACAGATTATCTTCTATGAACGTCATGAATTATATCATACGATCATATAAATTACCCTTTGCAGGGTAATTAATGTCGTGAATTATATCATGTATTCATACAAATTTTCAAGCATTTTGCTGGCAATCATTCATGACTGTCATGAACTATATCACGCATTCATATAAATTCCCAAGCATTTTGCAGGTTATTATCTATGAATGTCATGAATATTGTGACTTACATTCACCAAGCATTTTACAGGCAATCTCATATGAATGTCATGAATTATATCAAACATTCACGTCACTTCTCCTTCGGTCATCGAGTGACTTCCCGCATTGATTGCTCCAGAGACTGGGCGACGATATCGACATCATTGACAAGCGTTATTGAGGAGGCGCCAAATAACAGACCTAATGCACGGAACTGACAGCCGTCCCGCGCTGCGGACGCGGATTAGCAGCCAGACACACCAAGGCATCGAACAATCGACGTCGCGACAGAATCGCGGTCAGTTTTACCATAACTTAATTTTCTTTTACGTCATGATAACGTATAGTGCGCGTGCAATAGTTATTACTTTATTGATAATTTTACTGTACTTAGCTTGTACTCTAATTCCAAAATTCGTACTTTAATTAATAAATTTAAGTTATATGAATAAATTTATTTTATTTAATTTTAGTTGTACTACTGCACTTTAATTCGATACTTTAATCGTAATCTTCTAATTCTAGGGGCCTTGATGTGCTCCTATTCCTTCAGATGAGAGAGCTGAGGGAAAGTTTTGAACAAATTCACGTTCCAGTGAAGCTCAAAATTTTATATTTTATATCAGGTTATTTTGGAAGAAAAAGCTTTTTCAGATAAGCATAAAAATCCGGTATGCATGTAATTTATAAATATAGTGATCCATCGCCTCTGTAAAAATGTAAATACGTACCGCTAATTTAGAATGAAACGCTAACTTTTATTAATCATTCACTTAAAATTTTAACACTAAAATTTTCCGGGCGACTGTATTAAGTATTGATTCAATATTGAGCAAACTCTGTAGTCGATATTGGTCACAAAAAAAATGCCCCACTGTCGCTTTGATTTTATCTTAAATTTTCAGATAATTAAATAGACTTTATTTGAACTTCACTCGCGAGTTCAACTTTTACGGTAACGTATAATAATTTTTCATTAGGTCAGAATTCAAATGAAAATTCAAGCTGTAGCGGTCCAAATTGATTGAACGTGAACCAAAATGAGTCATAATGATGAGCCAAAATGAATCATAATGATAAGAGCTCGAAATTAAATTGTTCACAAAAATTATTGCTTCATTAGCTAGTCAAAAGACACGTGAAATAAGTTCTCGAGTTCAGCTAAACTCGTTTCTTACCATAAAAATCCCAGTAATCCATTGAATTTCAAATAAATCCAGTATAGTCCTCAATGACCTCGTATGCATATATACGGAGCAAGGGGTGGGACGGTGTCACCAATTATGGCTAACTAAATCATTATAGAAATTCCCAAAAGTTCTTAGAAGAAGCAAAATTGCAAATTAGATTAAGTTAAACTCCCGTCAATGAGTTCGACGTGATGGTACTCATGGGGGTAAAACTTTTTATACTCATTAGTTAAGACAAGAGCAGAGAAAAGCAGGCGACGGTAATCAAATTTATGCTTTTTAGCATGCTTTTGTGCACAGGACTTCCATTGAGCTGAAGGATCTAAACTTCGATCCCAGGCGAGATTGCCTCCCCATGAAGTTATGCCTGAAGTTTGAATTTTTGTCTCTGTGACGGCTTTGTCAGTGCTTGATCTCCTTAGTTCCTTTAGTAGGATTCACGATGTTGTAATTCCATAGGAGTACAGTGAATAATGTAAGTATTGTAAGTGCATACACAGTAATTCACCGAGCCAATGAGCCCTGTGTCAAGAATGATGAATAATTGAGTCATTCCTTCCAATATTTCGTAATTCAATGTTAGATTTATGCCGTTTAGTATAGTGTCACAAATGCTGACTGGAAGACTTCATTATCATCAATATTGCAATTTAATGTCTAAATAATTACTTCATTGACTCTATTGTCAAAAAGCTGAATAAATGAAGCATTCTTATTATTATTGGTAGGGAATTTGAAAGTTACATTATTGCCTACAGTGTCAAAACTGCGAATACATTCTTTTCACTCTGAAAACTGAATGTGAAATGACGATTGCATGGTCTTATTTCAACTGGCAGTGTAAGAAAAACGTGGAACACAATAAACTATCGATTTGATGATTAATGAACCGAAACTTTATTTAGTGTTCATATAATACAACCGAAGTGCCTCTTCATAAGATAAATTAGTACTGTAATCAGTATAATATTGTCTTCCTGCAGCGACCACAAGGAACAAATATTTTCAAAGAATATTCCGTCATGAACGTATATGTAGAAAGGTTAGAAACTACACCTATACATATATCAAGCAACAGATCTCTCGAAAATTAATGTGCTGATAAAAGTTGCTATCATTTCACTAGTTGCTTAGATAATTAAATTGTTTTAATTATAGAATATAGATGCGAGTGACCTGACTTTCAACTGCATCAGAAGATATAATCACTCCTCTGTAGTGCTGAGAGACACTAGATTTGAGATTAAAAAGATAAGCGACGCATTAATGTCCTCGTTCTTTTAATGGGTCTGCATATATGCTTTAGTTAATAATGCTGCAAATTGGAGTTGAAAAACTTTCAGTTGAGAATATTAGTGTACGACCGTGAGCGATGTGAAGAATATGAGACTGCAACGCGTAAATCCTCTCCAGCCCCTCGGATTAGCTTGCATTTCCGAGGTATTAATTCGAAGTGTTCCAGAAAAACCTTATCAGATTACCGATTATATTCGAGATTTCAAATGATAATTAATTGAATTTTTGAATTAACTTCAAACATGAGAGAAACCTCCAGACCGTGACTGATGACTACATTACAAAGCTGCATTAAAAAAATGCGTTATTGATATCAGTGGAGACGTAGGAAATTATTTTAAACGGATTTTGCGTACTACAACAAATAGCTTCCACGTGTGGAGACTTTGAATATGAAATAGAATAGAATATTTGAATATGAAATTAAGACACGTGTTGTCCAATAAAAAATGCTATCGTATGACCGTGGATAATAAGTATACATATACTACGTAGGACATCGATAAATTTCTTACCCTTGAGCTCCCTAGCTTACGTTTGTGTGGCCGTTATTGTCCCATATTCATTATTTAGGAAGTAGAGGCAAGAAAGGGAGCGAGCATCGTCATATATTTTCCAATATTATTGAAGAACAAGATAACGGAGAGATTAGGAACCGTTTAGAGGTATAACGATTCTTAATTTATGCTGTAACGCACCGTTCCTGTAGAGGAATTGTAGAAATGAGATGTAGAAAGTTTTTCTAACGAATTTACAGGATCTAGGCGTACCGTTTCTCTGGCGACGTTGAAGGAACTAGACTCACAGACTAATTACGATGTGATTATTGGCCTTGTGTGAGTCATCTTGACTCAGTTTTTCCTGAGACATGGCGTATCCGTGATACGGGCAAGGAGAAAGTGCGACACTATAATTTGGACAACTGGAACCATGCATTTTTGAGTGAATGAATGTATAGTAATGTAGAGATGAATAGGCAGTTGAGTTTCTTAGTAATTCTTTAATAAACTTCAAGCTATATCGAGTTTAAAACATATTTAAATGATTTAAATGATCTAAATAGAAACTTAAGATCATTTAAATATGTTTCAAGTTTAACGTAATAAATTTAATTTTAACTTAACTTAATTTAAAAAATCGTTATTAGCCGTGGTGATTACTGCAACATTTCATTTATTAAATATTGCTATCAGATCTATATTGCATATCTATTTACTCTTAGATATTTTATCTTCCTCTAATTAATTTTGCACACTCTGACTTTATTCTTTCTCTGAGGAATGTTTTACTCTAAAATTTTTTATCTTCTTCCGACTAATCTTGCGCTCCATACTTATTTTATCAGTAATCAATATGGTAATCTAAGATTTTAGATTATTCTCTATGAATAAGTATCTATATAACTCAAATATTATATTTCGAATAATTTTCGCTTAAATTGTCATTTTTTGCTTTTAATGCTGTTTTTTTGAAAATTGTTTAATGAATTTATTAAATAACATATGGCCATTTGCAGAAATTTATTGTGGCTTATAAAGCCAATACTAACGTTTGATCCTATTATTATCATGCTAATAGTAAAACGATATTTATTTTAGCCAATTCATAGTCACAAGATATCTCAACCATTATGATAATTATAGTAGTTTAATCGGGGCGATTATTCCTTGACGAATCAAATGTGCTTTTTCATCGAGAGCATCTCGGCCATTTGATTTTGGTTTAAAAATAATTCTGCAGTAACCAGAACTACCATGTCAACCTAATATCGGTTAAGAAATTATCCTACTGTAACCAGAACTACAATGAAAACAAGGAATTTAAAAGCAAAGAAAACGCCAAGAAAATTCACCATATCGATATTGAAAACGTTTCGGAGTCCAGCTCCATCATCAGTTCGACTAAACTATACAT